TGTTGGACATGCATACAATGCCTCTTCAGCAACTTGACTGAGAAAGCATGCTCATTGGAAAAATCTGACTGGTAATTCCCACTGCATTTCTGCAGTGCAGCCTGGGAAGTAATTATCCTTCTCACTGGTAAATCAATTAAGAATGGAGTATCTAACACACCCCTCCACCTCCCAGAAACTGCTAATCCTCCAATACTAATGAGCAGAAAGCCTCAGGTAACCTCAGGTTATTGCTGATATCATGACAACTGCAGTTTTCTTGAGCTCTATACCTGTGGCAATGCCAGCCAATCTCCAGGGTCAGAGAGAACAGAACCGAGTCACAGACACCTCTTACTGTTTTTTTTTACAAAAATAAGTGGGGACCTGCTTGAGCTTTAGTTTCTTCATCTGAACAATAAAGATAAAGATGTCAGACTCAAGTAAGAGTGGCCTTAAATATTATGGTACTGAGCTTAGCCTAGTGCATGGAAATTGTTAGAAGCACCATAAAATGAAATCATGGTTCTATTCTGATGTCAGACCCACTACAGACAGACAGACACACAGACACACACACACACACACACACACACACACACACACACACACACACACACACTTCAGTGGCTCAGCCACATCCTTAGCAGTTAGACCTATGTATCCTTTCCACTTCCAACATTATCCCTAAAGCTGCAGGTGGCGGCAGCTTTTGAGCCAGAGCAATTAGACTACAACATGCCTACAATTCCCTGTCCATTCAAAGATTCCTTCTCTAAGAGATTCACGCATGGAAATGGAGCATCTCTGGCTGGGAAATACACAGCCATCAGCCAGACTGTACAAAACACAGATCTGGTAAACAGACTTGACCCTGGCCCTTGCCATACTGCATTGGCCTGCAGACAAGATTCAAGTGACAATAATGAATTCTGAGGACCCAGGATGTTTTTTTCCTGTAAGGGGAAGAGGAAGCTGCTGGCTGTCACTCAGCAGCCTCCGCTATAACAGAGCCCCTACATCAGTGGGGCAAGCCTTCCTCACTCCTGTTTCCAGATACAATCCACTCTTTTTCATCTTCCAAGTGCCAGGCTCAGAGACATCCTCCAATACTAGACTACCAGAACACAGTCAAATTCAAACCCAGGTGATGAACTAATTATAGTCAGTGACCAAAGAGACAGAATTCACATCAAATGTAGGAGGAGTAGATCAAGTCATTAAAATATTACTGATGGCACCATATCATTGGCCTGGGATAATGAAAGACACTCTAGGCATCTCATCAATTTTCTCACTTAGAATTATGACATCTGCTATATGAAAAGATTAGCAGCCTATTCATGGCCTGTGAGAAAGACTACACTCTAAGCCTCAAATGACTTCCGTAAACCTTATTCCTCAGACGTTCCCATTAGGAAGTTTATTACCGATCCATCATTCATGGTAGTGAAGCCTTGAGACAACTGACTAGAGTCTGCTTTGCTATCTCACCTGTTTCTAAGGGCTGCAAGGATTTGAGAAGACTGGAGAGAAAGACTCCCCAGAGGATAGCACCATAGGTGCTCAGTCTTCGCTGCCTGAGAGTGTTACTGAGAAGGAAACTATACACACACACACAAACACTTCTGTCTTTACCCTAATGGCTTATGAACTATCAAGATTTGGAGAATTTCTTCTTCTCAAAGAAAAAAATTAAAAGCCAATGGTTATTTTTATGAGGAACTATATAAATAAAAGCACAATTTACAGTTTCGCCAGGGGCAACAGATCTCATCTGATGGATTCACAGCCTCTGAGGAAAGCACTGGCCATCTGTTAAATAAATAACTCATTAGGTGAAAAGTGAATGCTTCCACAAGATTAACTGAAAAACTTGCTGGAGCCTACTGCCAAAGAGCACGGAGAGCTGAAAATAATTTGGGAACTGAGAGAATCAAAAGAATCTTACTTACTGCAAGCTGGGAAGAGAATCCAGGTAATGACAGGTTTAAATTTCAAGGCATATTTTAAAAGAAACCTGAAAAGTTGAAAACTAAAGTTGCATGCCATGATCATAATAATGGTACAGAGTTCAAGACAAACACAGAAGCAAAAAAAAAAAAAAAAAAAAAAAAAGATGTATTTCTTTTTTTCTTTCCTTTTTTTTTTTTGTTTTTTGTTTTTTGTTTTTTGTTTGTCCTAGACAGGATTTCTCTGTGTAGCTTTGGTGCCTGTCCTGGATCTTGCTGTGTAGACCAGGCTGGCCTCAAACTCACAGAGATCCACTTGGCTCTGCCTCCCGAGTGCTGGGGTTTAAAGGCGTGCGCCACTACCGCCTGGCTATATATATATATATATTATTTCTTTATGTGGACTTGCCCTTTTGTCTCAGTGAATAAAGATGAGAAATTTCTATTAAAGTGAATATTCTGGGTAAGACAAGTCACCATGTGCAATATATTTGTGTCACTGACCATCAGGGGCTCCAAATATAATCAAAGTCAAATACTAACAGCAAAACAGAGCCCAATCTCATCTTTCCTTGGGTGAAAAAAGTCTCAAGAATCAGAAAAGATTCCTATAAACATTAAGTTCTCTGCTCATTTCAAAAACAAACAAACTCATGAAACTGCCCTTTTGTTTGTCTTTTCCTGACCAGAGTGAAAAAGAAAAAAAAATCACGTATCTATGCTTTAACTGTTTGCCTAGCAACATTTCCAAGTAGACAACTGACATGTTTTAGTAATGTTTCTTAGTCCATGAAATAGGACTAACCCCTGTTTTCTGACATAAAATGTGAGACAGTTCTCCAGACAGTCCACGACCTGGATGTCATCTCCAGGAAGGACAAATGGAAGTGGCATTTCTATGTTCCTGACCCTCAAACTTCAGATATATGTTCCTCCCAAACTGAAGCAGCTACCTGGACCTGCCCTTCACCCGCTTGCTTCTAAGAACTTGGAAGCCATGTTATGGAAGAGCAGAGAAAACTTGGTAAAGATAAAAAGTGACAAGTATGTGACAGTTTCCAACCGGGACAGAAGGGAAACAAAGCAGGTGTGGAGAGGTCTGACCTTTCGCATACCACTAACAAAAGTCCTTGTAAAGTGTATAAACCTCCTTCAAAGTTGTAGGGTGGAGAAGGCCAGAGATCTGTGGTGAAGGGAATCCTAGGCATCCTGACTCCTCCCTGCTACCGAGGGCCCCACCATGCTGGAGTCTTGAACTACCTTGATCGTATGCTTTTGTATTTTCTCAGTGATGAGGAAAGCAACTAGTGCATTTGTCTGCACAGGCCTCAGAGGGCTTCAGTTTTCCAATCGGTAAATCATTCTATATGAATGGTTCTTATCCAATATTCTGTTGACATCTTGAATCTCGTGTTCATGGAATTTGGGGTGTTCACAAACCCCTCACAATGTATGAACATTCTATGGCAAAGGCATGCTTCTAGAGCAAAAGTCTAGACCTTCAATCCCATTTGCAAAGGGGTTGCAGTTTAAAAAAAAACAGTAATAATCACTGGAAGAAGTGAAATCTATGGTCCCTTTCAGCTCTAACATTCAGTCATTCAAATGACAAAGCTGGAAAATGTGAACACGGCAATGCTTTGGGACAAACAGGCAGAAACTGCTCAGCTAAACCCAATAACAGCACTTAAGCAGCCCTTCCAATAATGGAGGCTGCAAGCAGAAACTACTAAGCTAAAACCAATAGCAGCCCCTCTGCAACCCTTCCAATAATAGAGGGTTTCGGACTTGGACATCCTCTGGAAGTCTGAGAACTCTTGCAGTTCCTGAGCTTTAGGATTTTGCATCACAACAGCTGAGGCAGGAGCCGGAAATTGAGTTTCCTCTTCTTCCAGAGACATCAGAGAAAATGTAATGAGAAGAAATGAGACTGTATTAGGGTATGTTAGGCAATGTAAACAATTATTTAAGCCACAACCAAGACTACTGTGTCAGAGACTGGAAAGTCTGAATGGGAAATGGAAGCTCGCTCCCAAGAGCTAAGACTGCCATGTCAGAATCAGAGAGCCTATGTCTACACATGTAGTGGAAGCTCACACCTGAGCCTACCTGGGGAAAAAGAGGGCTTTGCAAAACCACTAGAAAATGAAAACTGAATTTTTGAGAGAAAACTTATTAGAGTTTTAGAGCTATTGAAATGACCTTATGATTATTTTGGTTCAGATCCACCTAAGCTCTCAACGGTAGAGCTTTGCTACATGGGGATAGATCACATCTCTCTAAATCCAATACACTGTACATATAGTATTTGACTCCTAGAGCTATCTACCATTTCATGGAATTCATGTCTCAGCCTCCCATATGTCTCCATGGTGAAAGCTTGACCTCCTATGATTTCATTCTGACTGCCAGTCAAGAGGAAAACAGAGAATCAGGGAGCTGACAGAGCCAGGACTGCCCTCTACCTCTGAAGCACTTGGAGTTCAAGTAGAAGAATCCAGGAACCACTACTCCTTCCCTTGGTGGAAGGGATTCTGTGAGTAAACTGCTGTCCAGCAGATAGGTAGGTAGATGATAGACAGATAGATAGACAGACAGACAGACAGACAGATAGACTGACAGGCAAGAAGGAAGCTAGAAAAGGAATGAGCTCCAGAGTCTAGCTGGAACCAGTTCAAGCTAGAGTATTAAATAATCTCTTTGAGTTTTTATCTTTTCCTCTATAATGGGGCAGTAATGGATTTACCCCACAGGTTTACTACAAGCCAAAGAAAGACATGGAAAGGACTCAGTATCATACAGAGAGGAATCCTGTGCACAGCTACATAATCTCACAGGCGTTGCTGTTCCCATCATTTGTTATTACTACTACTACTACTACTACTACTACTACTACTACTATTACTATCAAGCCTCTTGTTAAAATCACAGCCTGCTTATGGGGTTCCCAGCACATAAGTAGGCCCTCCACAAGTGCTATGATAGCTGCTGTGTTTGCTCTCAGCTCGTGGCCAAAGCCACTCCGCTACCCAGAAGGAGAATGCAGGAACTCCTGACTGCTCCTCTTACCTTCCTTTTGTTGGTGGGGTTGACATAGAGGTAACTGAGGACCGTCTTCAAACCCACTTTGTCATTTAGTTTTTCATAGGTGGTGCCATAATCTGTTGACCTGCAGAAAGAGAGGGGGGCAAAACAAGAAGGGAGAGATTGTTTTATCAAATGAGGGATTGCATTGAAAGGGGAGCCAGGATCCCTCCACCCAAACCTGCATCTCTGTTCCCAAATCACGAGGGCTTGAAAGTGTTCTTCAGAGATAAAAAGCCCCATTAGTTTTAGAAGAGCAATTAGACTAATGCATCGTCTTCCTCCCGAGCTTGCTCTCCTTTGCTCCCAACCTTTCTCAGAGACCTACTTTCTTGCCTTTTGTGAAGCTGTATGGAGAAAGAAGCTGCTGGAGACAGCCTGCCTCCCACGCAGCTTACTCAGTGGCTCTGAATGTGGTACTGGGCAGGACGCAATTCTCACCATCCAACCCTCAGTTCTATGTGAGTATGAACTACAGAGGGAGAGAGATGCTAGGCTTTTCCACCAGAGGGGGATGATGGGATTTTCTGCACACGCAGCACTACAGCCAACTTCACACCCCCCTCCACTGAACCTGAAGCAAAGGAATTGTCAGAAGCCGGAATTGCTCAAGAGCATGCCGGGTCCACTGGTCAAAGGAGGCAATACCAGGAAGAGATTCTGATGTCTTACGTGGGTATATCACAGGTCAAAAACCAATGGCATTGAACTGGTGAAAGCGGTCCCTCATTCTGACTGTGATACTGTTTGCTACCTATTCCTCCCTTGAGCCATATTTCTAAGAAATTGACAAGATGCAGAAAAAAAAACCACAGAAAGGCTCAGAGGATAAAGGAGATCAATCCATTGGCTTATTTTCTATGCTAGCCTCCTTCCTCTTCCCCACTGGAGAAGGAAAAGAAAGTGCCAGACAATAGGATTCATGAGGGCAGACTCCCTGCCACACTCTAGTCACTGCTGAAACCCTATCCACATCTACTTTCCTTTACAGACAATCACTATCCCCAGGCTTCCCTCCTGTGTTTCAGCACCTCCTTGGTTAGTTTTGAGACAATTCTCTGGCTTAGGCTTTTGAGGGGCCTAGAGGCCAATGTATTCTCTCTGTCATCAGCTGATCTTGTGAGTATGAGACATTGTGCCTCTTAATCTCAGTTCTCAATCTCTCTCTTCAACTCCTCTTGACTTTGGCATCCTGATTGCAGAGTAATCACCTGTCCTTGAGTTCTCTTTAATCCTTTATTCATTCTCAAACTCTAATCTGGTTCTGCCATGGCACATAGCCTGAGAAGCCCAGGTGATGACTTTTAAGGGTTGTTGTCATAACACAGAGGTTCTCAACTTGAGGGTCATGACCCATTTGGGGGTCTAATGACCCTTTCACAGGGGTTACCTAAGACCATCAGAAAGTACAGATATTTACATTAGGTCTTTTAACAGTAGAAAAACTACAGTTATGAAGTAGCAATAAAATAATGTTATGGTTGGGAGTCACCACAGCATGAGGAACTGTATTAAAGGTTCCCAGCATTAGGAAGGTTGAGAACCACTATGGCATAAGGCTTCCCTATCCTTCTTCCCCAAACCATTCAAAATTCCTCTGCACTAGAATGCATTTCCCTATCCTACACATGCCAAGTCACACTCTGAATGTCTCTTTTCTAACTCTTTGAGGGTGTTATGGTTATTTCCTTTATGTTCTGACATCGAACCCACAAGGTAAGCTCCACAGGGTCAAAGAACTTCACAGAATGCCATGATAAGATGAAAAAGGAAACCATAAACTCTGGAGATATGGAAATCTTATTCTTTTTTAATAAATAAATTTATTTATTCATTTATTTAATATTCCAACCATAGTTTCCCCTCTCTCCCCTCTTCCCAGTACCTTTCCCTCATGCCCCCTCTGTTCCTATCTCCCAATCCACTACTTCTCTATTTCTGTTTAGGAAAGGACAGGTCTCCCATGAGTACCAACCAAACATGACATATCAAGTTTCAGTAAGACTAAGTACCTCCCCATGTATTAAGTCTGGACAAGGTGCCAGAGTATGAGGAGTAGGGTCCCAAAAGCCAGTAAAAGAGTTGGAAATCTGATTCTTTTCCACATCTGTAGCTCTCTAATTACATGCCCTGGACGAGTTATTTAACTTCCAGGAGCCTCAGATTTCTTACCTGAGAAATGGGGATAATTCAACTTCATGAAGTAATTGTGAGGATACAAAAATAATAGCACAGGGGAAGACCAATAGGATCCAGGGGAGAGAAATAATAAAAACAAATTACAATGAAGAGGTTTTTATTCATTTTTCCTTTCTACAACAGGTAAAAAACATGGTCTTACCCGTTATGTATACTTCACATGCTCACGAAAGAAATGAATACGATATTTCAAGTCTCTCCCTAGGCCACCATCTCCACATTTATATCAGTTACAATAACATTACTAAGTTCAGTCCCCCAAGAAGCTGGTTTCCTATGCTTGATCTCAAGTCTACCACAGGCACAGTGTGGGGAGTCACTCCCAGTCTTTCTCTTGCCTATATCTCACAACATCAGCTCTACACTCAAGTCCTTGTGATTCTGTCTCCCAAATAAATTATGTAGCAAGCATCTCATCCCTTTGCATGGCAATGTACGGCTCATACGTGCATTGGTAACAGTCTTCTCCTTGGAGGATACTCTCATTCTCTTCCCTGACACTAGCCTCCATCCTGTTAGTAGACTACACTCCACCCATGCAGAGCTGTCTACCTCACACTTCAGCAGTGGAGATGACCCATGGAGTGCACACAGATAAGCTTCATTTTCAAACTTAGTCCTTGAAAATTTGGTTTCCATCATCCTCATGGAGCCCATCGTTAGTCATTTGCTCCTCACTGCTTTCCTACTGGCTTGACTGCACTCTCCTAATCATGCCCCACATTTTACTGCCCTCCCTAAAGCAGCCACCACTTATTTCCTCTTAATAAGTTGGTCTCCAACTTTCAAACCTAGCTCTAATATTGTCCATCCAGTAAGTTTCCTACAGGGAAATTAATCTCAACCCCTTTGTGGTTTTTCTTTCACCTTTGTAAGTATCCCTTCCTACTTTTGTGCCTTCCCTGTTCTTTCATCTACTTTATTACAGGACTGCTTCTTTGACTTGACTCCCTTCAGGCAAGCAACACATCATGGAACCGCTCCGATGCCTCATATCATGCCTGGTAAGATGCAAGTGCTCAAAATGAATTGGCTTGTATTATTTGCTTTGTATTTATTTGTGAAAGTAAAGTGAGTGAACTTCTCCAAACCAACTCACAAATTTTTAACCAACTGCTAAAGTTTAACAGTAACTCACACACAGCCATCCTCCTAGAAATCATACCCTATGCTCTAGATGTTGGCATGGCTGTCACAGATTGCTGAGATCCAGCAGCGCTTGGTACCAGGAAAGGACCAGTAATTCACTCATATTAGAATCAAGGTTAAATACCGCATCAGCCTATCACCCTGAGCAACACTGCTCTCCAAGGCAGTGTAGCCGACAAATTACAACATCCAAAGGCTGTAAGATGCATGCTTTTATTAACTGAAATAAAACATTTTTAAATGACTTGATCTACACTCTTTCAGCATAAAATCATCACTGTGTAGGAAAAGAACACTGAATATGGAGGCTGGCAATCCAGGCTTTAGAACTGAATCTAAAATGCATACAATTGTATTACCTTAGATGAGACACTTCTCTAAGCCTGTGGAAGAAAAACAAAACAACAAACAAACAAACAAAAACACCTTCATTCGACAATTGTCAAAATGATGAGGCCAGTTTCACTGAGGGCCAGTGCAGTGAGCATGAGGCCCATTGCAATGGAGTTTTGCCGTAGGGAAGAGAGATTTGGCTAGATTCCAAAAGCAACAGGAAAATTGGGATTGATAGCCAAGAAGCAGAGTGAGGATCAGTGGATGGAAACTACAGAGAGGGTAAGGCAGTTCCTTGCTAAACAGACTTAATCAGATTCTTGCTGAATGCTGGCCAAGGGGATCAGCTATAACACGGGGACCACAGAGTCCACAGAGGCTGAGGGAATTCCTGTAAACTAACCATCTGGGTTTCTTGCTCAAGTTGGGCTCTTGAGAACATGCTCAATCAAGGTCAAGGCCTTATTAAAACACATCTCAAAGGAGCTGCACACAAATGGATGAAGAGGGAATATTCTCTTTTTTTTACATAAAGTAATACATGTTTATTCATATATATACATAAATATAAACCCTGTATACACATAATCATAATTATGTATAGGCATATTCTTTCTTTTTTTAATTTTATAATTTAATTTAATTTTACATATCAGCCACGGATTCCCCTGTCCTCCTCCTGCCCCCCCTCAAAGAGAGAATATTTTTTAAGCCCCATTCTATTATTAACATGAGACATTTAAATGTACTCAGATCATCATACAACCTCCTTTTGGACCTTAAATTTTATTATCACAACAACCTAGTTCTATGCTGTTTTCCAACCAGAGACTTTTGCCATCATATCTATAACAAGCATCTTGTAAGAGCTAAAATCTCAGGGCTCCCTGCATGACTGATGTCACAACAAACTCCCTTCCAGAATCCAAATAGCCCCCATCAAAGGCAGCATGCTCAGCACCATGCAGTCTCTTTCTACACACTGAAAACAGATTCACACTGACTTTGCTCTTTTCCAGAATTGGCTGCTGAGAAAAGGGACTTCCCAACAAAGGATGCTCTCTACAACTCAGCTTCCTCTAAGCCTCTGACAGTTTCTGTTCATTCAAGCGGACAGAAGGAAGTACCCCTCATGGAAAGTACCTCAAGGAGCCAGCAAGCATGTAGAACCAAAGGTGCCCTTGACACTGTCCTTTCCAGCATGGCTGTGGCATGTCGCCTTGACCATGGTGTTCTGTAGTCCCACATGGCCTGGGGAAAGTGCAGATGGCAGACAGGACTTGGCCTTGTTGCCAAGACAGCTGTGCCTGCAGAACTTGCTCTGACAAGAAAGCAAACCATCCTGTATCTTGGGGCTCCAGACATCTGCCAATGGGAGATGGGGTGTCACTTAGAAACAGTCTC